CTTCCTTGCTTCCTTCCTTCCTCCCTCCCTCCCTCCCTCCCTTTCTCCCTCCCTTTCTCCCTCCCTTGCTTCCTTCCTCCTTCTTTCCTTCCTTCCTCACCCTTGCATTTTCATTCCTGTAATTATGAATAACCTTGTCCTTTTCTTTCAGAAACTGTTTCAAATGTCCTCGACCAGACTCCATCAGTAACGAGGATCTGTTATGCCCTCACCAACGATTCATGTTCAACCCTGAACTCAGGGACGAAGATGGTGCTCGAGAAGTGTAAGTTTTTAGCAGAGAGTGTGCCCTCGTGCGGGGTGCTATCATACAGCACGCACTCCAATCAGTCACAAAGCAACAGTAATTTTATAAAAGCCTGTAAACACCTTTTGAGGTCTTCAGGAACAAGACAGTATAGAAACCATGTGCTTACAACACATTTTTCTTATTTTCCAGATTCAGTTATTTATTCAAAAACGAATGGGATTTGATCTCCACCAAGTACCCTTACGATGAAATAATCACCGTTACTAAGGAAACGACCGAGGATAAAGAAAAACCTAGCTTCATAACCTCTCCAGGTAATGTTCCTTCGCGCTAATGGTTCTGACTCCTCGTAGTTACCATTGCTATGCCCTAACAGCTCAAAAATGTTGCCAAAATATCTTGGAGTCTGAACTCTGATCGTGAAAACTATTGGTTGTAATTTGTTTACGTTTTTCAGTAATTTACCATGGAAATACAAGAAAAATTCTTTCTAATAGTTGTAGTATTCTTGGAAACAGGCAAATTTGTTCTTTGTGGGACAAGATTTTTATTTCCACTTTGAAAACTGCAACTACTGAGTCGGGACCATGCATAGCCCCACCCCTCTCTGGCAGAGCCGGATGATTATTTGACTCCCACCCCCTCAGTATTAATTTTACACTTCACTATTACCTGAACAGTCACGTGAAACCAGCCTCCATAGAAGCCTCTTGGTTGTGAATATGTTTCATTGGGCCAAAAGTTTATATACGATATATATATGGTTGTCAATCTAAAGAAATTGTTATGGCAACAACTATGAATCCTCACACTAACGATCCAAAACTGCTTATACATTTTAGAAATCTGTGAAGACTGTCACGCGTCACGCATGCTCGAGAAAGCCCGCTCGTTTGAAAACTATCGTCACGCAACGATATTCGTGCGTAAAATCACTGATGAACACGACCCCAATGAAATACAAAGACGCTTCGATGAGGTAAGTTAAGCAGGAAAACAATGTAAATAATGATGATATTGCTTCATCAAAGAGACTAGTATAGGAAAAATGAAAATTTAGAGGAGGAAGGGGGGGGGGGGGGGGGGGGGAGGCTATAGCCCTGCCCACACCTCTCCGTCTCCGTGGAACCCGATAGTAGGGACTTTAAGATTTGCAAAATCTTCGACGGCGACGTCAACCGGAAATGTAAATAATCTCTCTATGGGGTTCTGTTCAAAGGAGATTTCATTTAAAACATTGTCAGTGAAGTCAACTCATCCACAGGGAAGACAGACTTTGAAGGCGCGAAACCCCAAAGTTATTTACACTTCCGGTAGACATCGCCGTCGTAGATTTTGCAAATCTTAAAGTCCCCAGTGAATTGCAGCCCGCGTCATCGCAGTAAATTATAACCAGAGTCTTATAAAATTATTGTTGGCTAAACCAACGATACATCTCTTTTTGTATAAATTCCAAAATACTTTAAAAAACACTCACCCCTTTACCTCGATATTTTCAGTATTGCTTCTGCACGAAATGAATAGTTGAATGGTAAAGTAGTTTTCTATGATTTGAGTGCTGCTGAAATCAAGGTTTATACTTCCAATATGTTAATGAGTGTGATGTCTTTTGAGTTTATTTGTCATCATTTGTAAATTGAAGCACTGATTACTATGAGAAAAAAATGCAATAATCTTTGTATAAATCCTGGGTAAGACACTGATGGTTTATACAGGATGATTCACTGTTCCAGGAAAGTTTTAAGGACAAGATATTTAACGGAAAAGATATTTACGCGCACACTAGTGACTTTCCTCTGAGCCATGTGTCTGTTTTAACTGTATTTCAGGAGGTAACGGATCCTGACTCTCCACAAGATCCTGATTATAGCGTAAGTGTTAACAGTATTCGCTTTCTATCGTTAATATCCCTTCTTACTAACTCTTTATACACTGATAAGAGGAAGGCATTCTCTTACGAGTGCAAGATTCAGAATTCGAGATCCTATCATAGGTGTATTAAGTCCCAAATTTTCCTGTGCAGGGCGTACTCTTGTTCTGGGATTTGTGAAAAATGCCTTAGTCTGTTTGACATTTAAGTGATAATGGTGATGATGATGATAGTAAAGATGATGATGTTGACGATGATGGTAATGATGGTGATGATGACGGTGATGATGATGAT